CACTGCTCCTTCTTGCTCGTTCCCCAAACGTTCGTTGGCTTTCTGACCGGGGGGGGGGGACTGAGCTATTCAGAGTAACCTCCACATCACCTTTGTCTGTCCTGTCCTTAGATGTGTACGGTCGGGGGGATTTTGTCCCTGCGCAGGCTGGGCGTTCGTCAGGATTTTGTCTGTCCTCCGTTGCTCGGTGGCTCAGTATCACAGGATCTTTGTGCTGTGCTCCGTAGTCGTTTTTTACCACCGATTTTGAATCGATATCCCCCTTTTCTAGAGCAAGTATGGCATATAGCCCTCTGGGTCTCCTAACAGTCATCTCCTTTTATTATCAAAGTGATCTGCTCCTACCATGTTTGCTCTCTTTTAACTTGTTATTAACCCACAAAAGGGCTGTCCTGACGCTGAGTTAGCATATTGACTTTAGTAAGGGATTTCGACAAAAGTTTTCTGGAAATCCCAATGTGATATACCCGTTTGAAAGAGTTCCTCAGACTTGTTCCTGTAAAAGGCTAGGCTGGGCTGAGTCTTTCTGTAGTGAAAGTAGAAAGAATTAGTCAAATCACCTAGTTCAGTTCCTCCCTGTTCCTTAAAATACCTTTTTATCCAAGCTGATTTGAAATAAGTCCCTGCTCCCAACAGACCCTCCCAGGCTTTCAGCATATCGGCATCCGGCTGGTGGAAATCCCGTGCCTGAGCCACAGCAACGACTGTGTCTGTCCACGGCACTTCTTGCATTGGTAAAAGCCACCTTTTTTTTTTTTTTTCTTCCCTCAGGTGTCAGTAGTGAAAAGCGAGGAGACCAAGATGCGGCAGGAGGACCTCAGCAGGTTGCTATACGAGGTACAGATACTGAGAAGTCAGCAAGAGAACATGGAGTGTCAAGTGCAGGACATGAAGCAGTGAGTTGAATCCTACTTCAGTTCAGGCTGCTTCTTACAGGCGTTTTGCTCCTTGAAAGAGTTGTTGATCTTGGAGAGTGCTTGAAAGGAGGAGCCTTGCACACCTCCCAGGGACAACGTGCTAAGCCAGCATGACCTTTGACTAAGAATCTCTTCTCTGCTTAAATATCCTTGTCCTAACTTTGGAAAAGGGGGTTTGTGCAAAGTATATATTCTCTAGCAGTAAACATGAACAGAGCAAGCACGGATGCCAGATATATCTTAAGACCGTTGTCCTAAGGCCTGGTGTATCTAAAGGGCCGACTGTCACTTCAGACATAGACACTAGATCCATTGGGACAATAACATGTAGGATTTTTATGCAAACCGTTCCCAGTGCTCTACAAATATCATTTAATGCTCAGTCTCTCTGCCTCATGTGAAAGGTAGATGTATTCTCTCCATCTATATATTCCATTTATAGGTGAGGGAGGCAGAGAAGAGGTCATGCAGGAAATGTGTGCATAACCTGAGGACTTAACTCAGATAGTTTTCAAAAACTCAGATAGTTTCAAAAACTCAGTGTTTCCCCCAGCTAGAAGAGACTGTGGTAAAAAAGAGATGTAATTCTTTCTCATCCTAGCAGGGTCCTTAGCAGAAATGCAGTGGTGCCTGCTCCAGATATTCAAAAATTAGAAATCAGGCTGTGTCATCCTCCAAAATATGAGTGGTCTAAAAATACAAAAACATAAGAATGCTGTACTGGTTTAGACCATGAGCCTGTCTTTCCCAAGCCCCTGTCTTCTGGCATAGCCAAAAATGTTGTATAACAGCAGGACAAGCCTCCACGGTGCTGCTTACATGCAGTTTCTCAACCTCCAGCTGTCTGAGAGTCTGGGACTCTGAGTCAGACATGGTCACTAGGAATTTAGTAAACAGATACAGTTTTAGAGATCACACACTTGGAGTGGGTTTTAATCCTTAGAGAGCACTTTAGATTTGTCAAGTCTTTTTAAACAGTAAATCCAGAAACTTCTTTTGTAATGAAAGCTGAGATTCGTACATCATTGGAAGAAACTGGCATCTCGGGTGTTTTGAAAGAGCACCAGACACTGGGAAACTTCATAGCAGCCCAGCACCTTAAATGCAATAGGCTAAGTATTTTTATCCTTCCTCAATTTTAATGCTTCCCAGGCTTAGCATGTGTGAGAAATCATGCCGTGAAATCCAGGTACAGTGACAATGAAAGTCTCTCTCTCTCCAGGCTTGTATCTTATTTAATTTTTAAGGAGTTCCAGCATCAATGATTTGGCCTTGCTTTTCTTTCATTCTCCCTTTTGGTTTGCTCTCTCCCTTCATTAGCTGTCAAAAGGCAAAACTGCATTTAACTGATTAAAAGGATACAACTTCTATAAGCTAACAAAGACCAGATTCCAGGCCGTGACCGCATTAAGAAGTTTGCGTTGGTGAAATAACATTAGAGCATAACTCCAATGCAAGCTGTCAGTCTTAGGAAAGCTGCTTCGCTGGAAATCCTGGAGGTACCAGTGTGGAAAGTTCACTCCAGGGATGCCTGCTGGACAAGCCCAAGCTGCTATATGCTAAGGCAGATACTTCCCTACTTGGAGCTTATTAATTGGTTGGAGCCGGAGGGCCTTATCTTCCCCATTTTAGTGTCAATCCACACTACAAAGACTAAAACAGCGTACAGGACATGTAGCAAAAGGGTTTATAAGTTGCATCTCTATGAAAGGTTTTGTTGACTTTTCAGTTTTGGTACATCCTTATATTCCTGAGACAAATTCCCTGGCAAAATCTTTTGTATCATGGACTTGGCTTGAATCCAGATTTGGAGGCAGCACAGCAAATAAACTGTGCATCTCCCCCATCCCAGTTTCTGGGGCTGAATGGTCAAGGAAACGGGTAACTCCTGTGAGCGCTGTATTTGCAAACAGAAACCTAGGCCTGGATATGATCTATGCATTTGCAAGCTGGATCAGAACGCGGGACTGCACTGGATGAAATCAGTGACTCCCACTAATGAGAAGGTTGTTACAGTGCTCAAGTTCAAGGCTCTGCTTGTTCAAATGCAGAAACATCCCTCTAGCTACTCCAGTTGCTCCAAAACATGCCTCTGTATCACCAAACATATGAGGTTTGAACAGGCAGAATTACATAGGATCTCTTTACTGCATTGAGGGCACTAACAGAGAGGTCAGGTTTTCTTGGCTCTGGCAGCAAGAATAGTCTTGGTGATCTAAATCATTCAAAATCACAACTCAGGCCCTGCTGAAATTCTGAATTTGGCCCAGATGTTGCATAAAAACCCGAGGCGTGTGTGTTGTCCTGTTTGCCTCCCCCACAGATGTTATTTGTTTCCCTTCCTTTTGAACTAGTTGGGTGTGCTTTTTCAAGTTTTGCTCTGCAGTTTTGAAGTCTAGGAAAAACAAGAAAAGTAATTGTGTGACCCCAGTAGCTGGGACATTTCGAAAGTGCCAAACGCTGCAAGAGGCCTGATAAAGTGAGACATTTTGCAAAATTGGGTCTCCTGTGCAGCACCGTGGACTGGTGGGGCATTTCTGTGCTCATGAGAGGTTTCTGTTTCACTTTCAGGCAAAATGAAGTTCTTTGGCGAGAAGTTGTTTCTCTCCGTCAGAACCACACACAGCAACAGAAAGTGATCAACAAGGTAGTGATCGTATAAACACCAAACTCTTGCACTGTCTGGTGTAGGTCCTCCTCTGATTTTTTTTCTTGCCTCATACTCTTCTCCAGACTCTTGTATTGCAATATATGAATTTTCCCTTTCTAATCACGTGAGGATCTTATGTGTCCTGTGGGAAATGTTCATTAGCAAAGCATAAAACCCTCAAGCAAAAGATTTCCCTTTCCCTGTCAGTCCTTGCTGTGATGTTAGAAACCGCGTCTTTGTCGGAGTCCTGAGCCCTTGGACTGTGATGCTGTAGAACAAGGGAGCACGACTGTCTCCGATTGCCCTGTGCTGTCTTATGTTCTGGCAGCACCAATGCCTTTGGGCTTCCCAAAGCTTCCTCTTTCTCTTGGACGAGTCACAGGAGGGTCTTTGAAAAGCTCTTGCTCCTTGTTCTTTCAGGACAGGATTGCAGAGCTCTGACGCACACTCCAGTCTGGTGGCAACAGGACTGGTGTGTACGGCAGTGAGAGCAGGTCTTTCATGTTCTAGGCATGAGTGTTAGATCTTTGATCCTGCCCTCGTCAAAGCGAGTACCTGGAGCATCACAAATAGGGATCATCGTAGTAACTGTAGGAGTACTGTCTCCTTGAACAGGGAAAGGCACATGGGTTTTAATGGCTGCAGGGTAATGCTGGGCTTCTCACCCCTCACAGTTAGCAGCTGCATCGGTCTTTCTTATCTGCGGAGTTGCACTGGTTTTTCTGTGTGACTAGAGAACCAGGTTCTTGCTCTTCTAGAGATGGTAGAGCTCACAGGCTCCTCCAGAGCCCTGCAAGAGGCACAGCAGAGGATGGCCATGCAGGGGAGAGAGGAGCCTCCCCATCCTGCTGCCGCCGCTGAAGCTGCACACAGCGGAACTGGCTAGCCATTCCTCCAGCCTATGGAGACCTCCATGAACGGTTCAATTTTCTGGTGGTGTTGGGCCAGCTGAGGAATTACTGTGCAAGCCTCTAGTGTAAGGCACACAGGAGAACAGACTGAATAAGCAAGACAGGGGTCACCTCCCTTAAAATTTAGCATCTCCTGTACAGAACAGGGCTCTCCAGTGATCCCTGGATGGTGCTGATATGACTGCGCAAGTCACATTTCCCAGTCACCCTAAGTGAGAGCCACATTCTGACCCTCACATTGCATCATAGAGTCATAGGACTGGATGGAAATGCATGAGGCTGTCGAACGTTCCTCCAACCCTAATGCGGGTCCAGCCACACCACTCATGGAGCGTTGCAGTGGCATTTGTGCAACTCTGTTATATTGAGCAATGAGTAAGAGACAGCTGTGGTATATAATGATAATTCTCTCTTTGTCTGGAGGTCAAAGTAGAGCGTTTAGGCTTAAGCTGACATGGGAATATGTTGCTAGGTGATTCCTCTCAAAAGCCATCCTACATCCTTTTTAGTGGCCTCTTATGTCAACGCTGAATTCCATATGGCTGAAAAACTCAGCTAGAAGAGCTGAGGCCTCCATCCAGGGCCACTCTTAGGGGACTGCCTTTTTCATTTGCAAAGTCTTTATAAAGCTCTTAGACTAAAAGTCTAAAGACTTTTATAGAGGCCAAGTCTCACTTCAGGCCTAGGAATCTTTGCTCATGCACTTCACTGGCAAATTCCTGGGTCACCTGGGGCTAGCCGGGGTTTCTGCATGTACAGAAGAGGAGAGAGGAAGTGCAGGGCGTGTGTATCTGGCAGCCTTGAAACAAAGAAGGCACTTGTCTGTGTTTCTTGAAAACCAAGCAGGTCGTTTGAAGGTGCTTGGAAAGCTTAGTCCCCTTTCGGGCTCTGGCATCTCGCGCAATCTGGCTCCCGTATTTCATGGCTGTTCCCAGCTTTGGGGTGGTGTCAGAAGGGAGGAATGCATGAGATAAGAATGAGTGTGAGAGCAGGGAGTGCTGAATCACCCTGCTGATTAACATTGGATTTTGATCTCTCCTGACAGCTGATTCAGTTTCTGTTTGGCCAGCTCCAATCAAACCCCAGCAGCACTGGGATAAAGAGGAAGCTGTAAGTACCCTTATGTGGTGCACACACACACTCACGGGTGCATAATGCTGCCCCCTCGCTAAAAGCACAAGCTCAGCTTGCCCAGGCAGGCGGTCACCAGACCAGGGCACCATGGTGATGGGAAATGAATGCGATGAACTGCCGAGTCAGACCTGCTGACATGCTCCATTCAGTGGTCTTATAGAGAAGCACCGTGTCAGCTCCTGACCTTTATTTGGGGAATACAGAGTGAGACAGGAGATGGGAACGTTAACTAGTGGCCGGGGGAAGGGCAAGACCCCAATGCTGGCCCTGTGGATGCCAGTGGCAGCGTTGCTGCGTGTCATTGGTGGGAACAGGTTTGGGCCCAGCTGGCCCACAGCCACCTTTTGTTTGATCCACAGTGGCTGACTGGGGTGTGTATCCAAGACAGGTTTGGTGATGTGTAACCTGCAGTTCTCACGGAGGCAGAGAAAGATTTTAACTAGGGGAATCTTTAGGATTGTAAATAAATGCTTCAAGGCAAGTGAATAGAGGAGCTTGAATCATCTTGGCCTCATCTCAACACCAATTAAGTCTGGCCAATTACTTGAACTGAGTATAAAACTGTAGCAGGAAAAGCACCAGAGTGAGAAGCCTTAGAAGCAGAGATTGCAAAAAGATTTAGAGCACAGATGACAACACTGCAATATCCAATTGCTGATTAGGACAGCAGTAGACCAGTGATGATAAGAGAGAGCTCTGCCCTGGACTAGCGTCCATGTGGAGGTTCCCAATTGGAAGTGCAGCCAGACCTTCATCAGAAGGTCCTGAGCTCTAAAATTGAGGTAAGAGTGGTGAGATTTCTTCCCTGGTGGCTGTTACCTGTTAGCAGCATCTAAGATTCATGCCTGAATCTGACAAAGTTCTGTTTATTTACATCTCCTGAGTGGTATCATTTGTATCTGTCCATGTATAGAGAATTCACTCTACCCTTTGTGGCTCCGAGCTAAGCTTTTGCTTTAGAGAAGCAATTCTTTTGGATTTCTTCTTCTCTTGGATATTCCTCTTTCTGGGATGGGCAGATCTGTAGGTCCTGTAGGCATCTGACCTGGGAGGCTGTTGGACGGGTTGAAGCGTAAACCGCTTTGATAATGAGCTTTGGACAGAGAGGTTCATTTGTGGCTCCTGAGCAGAGAGTTGGACGCTTGTAATTGTCACAGGGCTGGCTATGATATCTCTTTGCACTGAAGAGTAGCTTATGCCATAACAAGGTCCATGTCAGAATGACTCAAATGTTCTTTTTCATTCTGTATCTTCAGTTAATGTCATAGAATAGAAAAAGGCTGTTAAATAAGCTGTTAAACAATGTCAAGCTCTCAAGTGCTGTGGTCACTGAATCGTGCTGTATAACGCCCTTCATTGCGGGATGAAATTGCAGTCAGAGTAAACCCAGCATTTCTCCCAGCATATCCAGTTCCAGTGTTTGTAGGATAAGGGGAACTGGGAAATAATTTCTTCTGTCAGGCCTCTTGGACCTTAACAGGGGAACAGTGTTGGCTTTCCTTGGTGCCCTCAGTTAAACCACTGTCTTCTAAATGAACACTGAAGAGAGGCTTTCCTGATTGTGGACAGTGAGAGGAGAAGAGGGATTTGCTAAGCCGTTTTATAGGATCATCATAATATTAACAGTACTGGGTGGGTGTCAAAATATACCATTCTCCACCTTCTCTGGGACTGTATTGTGGTGTTGGTAACATTTACATCACAAAACCCTGGAGGTTCCATGCTGGAATGATGTCGGTGCCATTTTGAGGCTCCTTTTCTTTTTCTCTTGGTTTCATTTTTTTGCTAAACGAAAAGCACCCCCACCGCAGGGCCCGACACACAGTCCCCCTTCTTGTCAACAGGCATCTGGAAAAGCCTGTCAGTCGTTTCTGAAAAGCCCGTATGCAATGGGTTTGTGCTGTGCTCTATTTTGTGTCTTGCCCCGTTTTATTAACTTGTGTTAGTGGGTAGCGTGGATTCCGTTTATGCAGTGCTGTATACTGAGATGTACTTTTGGCAAGAAAAGGGGCCCTGCGAGGATGGGAGCTGGTAAAGAGGCCCAGTCCCTAGTGTTCTGCTAAAGATTTCCGCGTAGCTACACTGAGAGAAACAAGCTGAGGATCCAGCCCAGAGATTGGAACCATTAGCAATTAGGAGAAAATATTAAATGAATTTGTTCAGCCAGCAAATGCTCTTTCTTCCTCATCCCTCACCTGCGCCCTCCCTTTCCCAGGAGGACCTCCTGACCTAGAACCAGCCCTGTTTTCCTGTTAAGGATGTGACAGAGGCAGGGAACTCTCTTTATGGCAAGGTGCCACAAATCTTCTGACTATAACAATGTCTGAGATTACATGGCAAGCTCATTTAACAAGGTTCATGCCTCCTGCAAATGCAGCGACCTTTATACCGTGTCATTTGGGATCAGGGCCCCAGGTACTGGGCACTATGGGGAATAGCAGGCCAAGGTGAAAGGCTGTAGGAGAAGGATGAGCAGTTGAGGCAACCTCCTTGTCCTCCAGAATGGAGTAACTAGCGTATGGAAGTCATCCCCAGGAAGCATTTGTAGGACTTTGCTGTTCGGTAAGCTTTTTCAGAGACTGTGTATGGTAAGGACAGCTAGAGGCCCTTTTGCAACTGAAGAGGTACCATGAGGTATTGTTTTGTACAAAGTACGGTGGTACTTGACTCCAGTCACTTCTTGAAATATGGCTAGGGACAAATTACAGCCTGTGATCTGGAAATAGCACATTGTCATAAGTTTAGTCCATCTGCTCCTTCTATTACAACACATCTTCATTTAAACCTAAATTCTATCTTTTCCACTTGAATGGGTGTAGAATACCCATGGGGCTGCAGCAAGAATTTGACTCCCGTGTGATTTACAGGATGGTTGTATTGTGACTATTTGTGTGTAAGGTTACAAACCAAAACTCCAAATGGAAAAACAAGTAATTTTGCTGAGGCAGAAGGCTTTCCTCACTGCAAGTTGCGGATATGCATTAAAGCTTGTAAATTGTAGCCTATGTAAAGAGGAGTCAGATGACTCTGGAGATTCCTATCCTAAGCTTTTTTATCCTCCAGAGCGGCTTTTGATTGTGGGTTCAGATATCTTCATCTTTTTCTTCCTTATATGGGATACAAGTAGCAATGTATGTATTTTATTTCACTTGGTTCTTTCAAATGAGATCTAGAAAAAGCCAGATCCTTTCTTCTCTGTATGGCTGTTAAAAGTCCATTTTTCACAGTGACCGCCTTCAAGACTGTTGCTTTCCTTCCTTGTGCATAACACTGGACAAGAAAGTACGTTACAACTGAGGAAAACCAGCGTATCCAGGTGGAAACAGCCCTTGGCTGCAACATTTCTTCTGTGAGCAGGCAGGCAACAGTCAGTTAATACGTGGCTGAGAAAGGATACCTCTTGTTTTTCTCTTCACAGACCTCTGATGCTTGACAATGGGACCTCAGTTCCGCAAGTGCCCAAGTTCAGCCGGCATTTGTCTGCTACAGACCCTCTCCATGACCCCTATTTCATTCAGTCGGTAGGTTTGCTCCAGCCTCTGAGCTTTATGGGCTTTTTTTGGCCAGAGCGGGAAAATGTTTGAGGCGATAATATGGATTATGGAGTAAGCTCTTTGGCAAGTTTGTCAAGGACGAAGAGGTTTGCAGAGCTGAGTAACATTTGTTATTTCTTCAGCTATAGGTTGTACCAGGGAGAGGTGCATTCTTACAGCATGCTCACGCTGCTGTCTTCTGCTGCAGCCTGCTTGGGGCAATGTGAGAGGCCACCGGATGTGGGAGGGAAAGGCAGGTCCTGCACACAGAGCTCTGCCCAGTATTACCACAGCCAGGCTTATGGCACAGGCGGAGAGAAAGAAGTTTGTTCTAGAAGTGGTAACTAGGATCTTCCTGGCCAAAGGCAGATTATTTGCAATCCCCCAGCAATCCCCGTCACTCTAACCCACCAAAAGAGCCTCCAGAGGGGACAGTTGTTTAAGCAACGCAGTGAATGCTTTCTGCAAAGGCTCCGCGCATCCTGAGGGAGAAAGGGTTATGCTGTGCTACTGGCCTATCATCTGGCTGCTGCTAGCAGGGCTAGCACACTCGTGTCCCACAGTTAAAATACTTGAATTGCCATGACACCTAAACCCCCACCTGCAGAGCAGTTGGATCTTTCCCTCCAGAGGAAGACAAATGGTCTAAGCAACATGTGAGACAGGGTAAAATCTGTCAGCAGCTGACATTTTAGTCACAGTGGTGGTTTTATTCCTGCACTTCTGTGTGGTCGGAGGAAAGACCAGAGGAAACGGTAATGTTGCATAGTAGGTAAGAGCCTCCTTGGTTTCAACCCAAGGGATATTTGCTCAAGGGCATAGTGAGAAAACACTACTTGGGGTGATGCGTTATACTTGGTCTAGCTGCTCTAAAATCGGAGATAACTGGATCTTTTCAGTTAGCTGCGGCCCTCTGTAGCAAGTGAGAGGATGGCGCTACTTCAGTTAGTGTTGGAGGAGAGACAGTGCACCCTGCTATCCAGAACTCTTGGGCAGAGCGTGTTGGAGGGTTGGGAGTTCTAGTGGCTGGGTGGAGAGCTTTTTCTTATAAATCAGAAAAGGGGAGACAGGTTGCTTCTCCCTTCTTGGGCCAGTGGAGAACCAACTGATTTATTAATGCTCTTTACTGCTTCAGAAGGATAAATCCATATGATTTTTGCTTTCCTCCTAGCCATCAACAGAACCTGCCTCATGCTTAAACAGCCCTGCAATTGCTGGAGGACCCATCATCTCTGATGTTACTGAAGCATCACCATCCAACATAATAAATATGCAGTCCCCTCCTGATAGTGACAGGTAAATATGTTTGTGATCAAAACAGGCAGAACCAGGTATGGGCAACGAGTAATTTAGCAGAGTACTTCCTGGCTCTAATTCTACCACAGCCTCTGAATGACAAATCTCTATAGAGATGATGGGCAGCATGTTTGCAACGTGGAACAGATTTTCAGAATTAGGTAGGGATATTAACAGCATAACTTTCAAATAAGAAGTCATGAGTTTCATGCTGAGAACTTCCACTCACCTCTTTGAGAAGTGTTCCACGGTTCTTTATACTTTGTTCTCAAGAAAGTGGCTGTTCCAGACTTTATCAAAGAATGAGATACCAATATTTGTCAGTTTTGCTTTTGAGAGCAAGAGAAAAAGGAAGTTTTCTCTTGGCTTTGACAAAGAAGAAACAGAATCACACTGTACATCTTTGTGCTAATGAGCACAGACAGTTTGCATCACAACAACTTCCGATGCTTGACAGCTTTTCTGTGAAAAGGTCCCAGGAACTTAAGAACTGAATGCAAAGGTATGTTAGTGCTTATCTCTTCCTGCACAGATATGCAGTGTTCTTAGAGGTAGTTACTGAATCATAACTACAACTATGTCAGTGGAAAGTAACCAGGTAGATGAATCATAGAAACGAGGTTTCTCACACATAGAGGCAAGGCAGTTATACCCTAAAAATTGCCTGTAGAACTACCTAATAATTGGAACTAGGCCCCAAGAAATAGCTAGAAGCATGTAAAGAGCTTCAGGTAAATGACTACATGCTGGAAGACATTTCTGAAGTAGAAAAATTTTAATATAACCTTCAAGTGAAGTTGCTTATTACTGCTACTTACTGAGTGCCATCTGGTGGCTTCTGATCTACGCTGGATAACTCGTGAAGAGAATCTGGGCCAGCCACGGCTATAATGAGTTCAGGAGTGTGATAGCTGCTAAATGAGCACGAGCTTCTGGTGGAAGCTTAGGATTCACAAGATGGTCTGAAAGGAGTGCTGCTTTGTAGTGTCCCATACCATCCCATATATGGGACATGCCCACGTGCTGTGTTTCAGCAAAGCTAGTCTTCAAGTGTGGTAACATAATACTATTTTTTCAGTAGTGTTTTCCATTCCCCACTCCTGTTGAGCTACGTGTCTTTGTCACTTTGGCTTCTGCTGTGCAGGGTGTACAGGGCGCTCTAAAGTCTCCTGTAGATGTTATAAAGCAGTTTTTTACATACAAAGTGTTACTGTTTAAAAGTTCAATATCATATGTCCTGGGAAGAACATAGAGTGCTCCTCCCACTGGAAAAAGGCAAACTGCAGCTTCTCAACAAATAAAACACCTGGCTCAGACTGTCAGATCTTGAGAGCCTCTGTTTCTAATCCTGCCAGGCTACCAGATCCTGGCTATGTAATTGGGATATCTAGGGAGCTCAGCCTAGACCCACATCGGCCCCGCTTACTGACCTCATTCCTATCTCTAGGGTGGAGAGTCCTTTCCTTCAGGGCTCCCTCTCTAGGCAAGCAACTGTTACCTGTCTCAAGTCTAACACTCATTGGGGAAATGATCAACACATGGAAGAAAATTTTCCATGTCTGCAAGACAGCCTAATAGGACAGATTTGCTATAGGCGTGACTGATGAAGTGACCGAAAATACTCCAGTGGAGCATGTTTTGGATTTGCCTCTTTACAGCCACTCTGTGTAATAAGAAGACCTCTTACTGCAGAACATTCCCCAGGGATTAGCAGCCAGATGGAGTTAATGACTCTGAGTTACATCCTGAAAGCTGAAATCCTCCACCTTGTTGAAACATCTCCAGGAAATGTTCTGGCCGTGGTCACTCTCGTTTTTGCATGACCGGCAATAGCAGGAGCACTCTGCACATACTTAACCTGTCCAGGGACCCAGCACACACCACCACCCCCTTTCACTTGCTTCACCCTTTTAGTGCTGAAGTCTACTACAGGCCTGAGACAGCTTCGTGGAGCAAGCCACCCATCTAGTGGTGCAGCTGGGAAAGGGCATCAGGATTGACTCCTAAAATTTCTCCTGGGTGCATGCCCAGCCTTGACCTGGCAGTTTAAATGGAAACCTTCCCAGCTGTGCCTGGACAACCCACTTCCCTCTGACAGAGCCCTTTGCATGCACACACAGAAGAAGCTCAGTAAAATAGAGCTGCTGCTCCCACATTCCTTGAAGGCTTTCCTGGCAGGCCTTGGAGCTCACCGAGAAGAAGACAGGGGTGCTGATAGAGTTCATTTGCCCACCTGGGAAATGCAAAGACTCTGTGGGGCAGTTTGATGGGAAGTGGAGGCAAGCCCTTGTGCTGTTGCCCTTCCCAGTAGCACAGGGCCTCTGTGGAGCAGATGTGTGTGTGGTGCTAAGTCTTGTCTTTGATCCAGGGAGAAGAGCCTCATGCTGATCAAGGAAGAGCCGGTCAGCCCTGGAGTGAAAGCCACCACTGAGCCTGATATCCCGCTCCCAGGCTGCCGGGCTTGCGCTGAGCCCCCGGTGCTCCCAGTTGCCATGATTCAGTCTGTTTTGGAAGGTAAAGGGAGCTGTGGTGCAGCCCAGCCAGGGACCTTGCAGCCACCCGAGAGAAGAGGCAGAAGAGCACTGCTGGACAGGTGAGGGGAGCAAGGGAGAGTTGTGGCCCTGCCTGTTTCACTGCCCCTTCTGTTAGCTGGGGGCAGGCTGGCTGCAAGTTGCCTAGCGCAGCCCTATGAGCTCTGTCCTGTACCTGTGGCTCCTGCTTAGAGGATCCTTGAAGCCTGGGGTAGAGGGTCTGCAGATGAGTTGCTTGAAGGACCCAACAGAGCAAGAGCTTTCTGTTCCTGTTTGTCAGAGTCATGGGAGCAGGAAGAGACTTCCCACGGTGAGAGGGGCTTGCCCAAGGTCCAAGTCAGAGGTGGAGCCCAAACCAGCATCCATGCTTGCAGACTTGCAGGCCGCTGGACCATACTGCCTCTCCAATAGCTCATGCACCCTCTGTCATTTGCTTTGCTGGGTCTTCAGCCGCATAAACTTATAAGGGAATAGTTGTCGCTGGAGTTTCTGTGCAGTTAAGAAGGTGTCACTTGTATGCTCATATACAGGCAAGGATGGAAGAGGGCAGTCCATTTTCATGGTAACCTCTGCTCTATAGCAAGAAATATATTTGGTAAGGCAGCAAAGCATCTATGAGGCCCAGGCTTGGGCTTGAGGAATTATATGCCGTAAGGAAATAATTTGCCCCCTTTCTTTTCCTCTCCTGCGCTGTGAAGTCATATAGGGTATTTCCTCTTTAGTCTGCTCTGCCTTTGCATCTCTTCCTGTCATCTTTCTGAGGTGTGGAGAAACCTCCTCACTGCTCTAGAAGGGCAACTGACTTTCCTGAGTCTGTGCTAGATCTGTCTTCAGGGGGTAGCCAGTCTTTCTGGCACCATCACATGGGCCATGTGTTTCTGAGGAGGTGCTGGGAAGCTGACCCTGGCAGAGATCTCGGCTTGCCTCTCTCTGCGTAAGAGCGAAAAGCCGTGAAACTTAGCTGCGTTTGTGAGGCTTCTCTCCTGGAACTGGAAGAGCTGAGTAAAAATCTAGGCAGTCCCAAGCAAGGTGTTACAAATGGGTATAAAATCAAAACTTAACATAATGAAGTAGCAAGTGAGATCACTTACAGGGATGGAGAGTTAAGAGCTTGTGTTCACCGAGTGCTAAAGTCTGGTAGAAAGGGACAGAGGTCTGGTTATCTACTTACAAGCCAGGGCATGTAAGTATTATTAACTGCAGAACTTGTTCTTGATAGCACCTGCAGCAATGTAAGGAGGTCTTGGGAAGTCCTGCTTTCTGTATGTACCTACGCAACTCTCATCTGTGGCAATGTTTCTCTTTGTCTTTTCTCAGAACAGATATTTCAGACCCATTGGAGGGCGCCGACTTGAGTTTAGAAGGCCTGCAGCTGCTGCTGAGGAGCCAGCAGTACAGCCTGGAGCCGGCCAGTATCCTGGATGTGAGTGTGAGGCCCTCGGCCTAGGAGGCTACATAAAACAGTCATGAAGTATGCAGCAGTGCCTTTGGGCAGTAAAACAGATGGACCGCACTGCTTATTCGTGCATAGAGCCTTGTGTGACACTTAATCTGTTAGACACTGCCAGAACAAACACAGCTCTTTTTTTGACCTGCTTGAGGGAACTTGCAGGGGTTCAGACTTTAAATGATGCTTTTTTATTTCTCGCGAAAAATCTGTTTCTGAACTTCTTACCCTAGGAGCACAAAACATAGCGCATTTGGCAAAGACCTAGCACTCCCACTCTTACCTAAAATAGGTTTAAGATGACTCTGTAGATAGCTTGTTAATTGCTTGGGAGGGGTGGTGGTTTATTTTTTGGCATGTTCTGCATCTTGGATACTCCTAGCTTGTTGTTAGCTCTGTTACCTTCCCCTTTTCCTCTAAGTTCCACAGTTCTGAAAAGGCACTTTTCTCTGACAATTAGTGGTGCAATTAGGATTTTTTCTTAAGTATAGATGCAGAAATAGAAGGGTTTAATTTTTGCGCTTAATTCTCTCTCTCTCTTTGTACATACTGTTAGAATATAAAATGCTTTATGCTGATAATCAAATAACTCAGTATGTAGTGAAAGAATCCATCTCTCAGAGAAGATACGTTCCCTTGAGATGCTTCAGATTTAGGCACATGGTGAATTTGTGTGGCGAAACAGGAATGGGAAATCACAGAAAATTACTTTTATTCTCTTAGAACCTGAGTGTCTGTGATTCTGACTTTATGAAAAGCTTTTTTAATGGTCTACTCTGTCACTGGGTATGGTGGTTTCTGCTTCTTTACTCCTCGTTAGGAGGTGATTTTCCTGTTCCTGACACACTTTTCTCTCTCTGTGTAACTGAACATTGCAAGAGCGAGAGTGAATCATGAAATCATCCTCCAGATCAGCAGCTCCATTTCCCAGATTGTGCAGACTTCTCAAGAAACTGGCACTGGGGGACTGATGCAGCCATTTGCCCTTGGCTGCTGCGTTTCGGAACACTTCTTTGAAAAGAAAGTATGAATCTGCAAGTGTCCCTAGGACCCAATAGCAGAAAGAAAGGGCTATGATGGAGATAAACAGCTGCCCTGGTTTCAGACATTGCTCCACCAGGCGCCTGCCCTGCCCCTCCACTGGAAGGCACCAGCCTGGCAGCAAGGTCTGCAGATCAGTGCAGGTGCCCACGACTCAGCCACTGCTGTTCCAGGTCTGTCACCAACCAACACAAATGAGCCTTCACCTGTAGCTTCAATTACGACATCACAGCAGCTGAGGCTCAGGCAGACGTTGCTTTCTGGCATCTCTACCAGCAGAGCAACCACCTCCAGCAGAGAGGCCAGGCAGGCAGCTGAGGACAGGAGTGCCTTAAACCATTACGCCTTTCAGAGCCCTAATTGTTATTTTTTCTGCCGACAGGTCTTTAATCCCAGTTTGTCTTTGAGTGAGTGGAATTTGACCGAAATGGAAGCCAGTCTGTCCCCGGTAAGAGACGTGTATTTCTGAGAGGATAATGTGAGTGCGAAGCAGAATTTCCTGTAGACAGAGCTTGTTCATTGCTGAAGAATGATTGGTTATTTCACAGCCAGAGGGAAGAGTGTGGTAAAGCACAGAGAGTATGCATCTCCTGAGGTCAGGCTGCCCGTGTTAACTTATACTCTTGCCCTATTTTTCCCATTCCACCAGAGCTTGTTTGGAGACATGTGTTGATGATGTCCTGGAGTCTTTGACTGACACTGGCTGCTCCAGACTTTCTGCCTCGGTGTCATTGTCACTCACTTGTTCTTGTTTTGAAAATTAACTGCGTAACCTCCTAACGATACCGTAGAGCATATTTCAGGAGCAGTGAAAACACACCCAATTAGACGAGAGGCTGATACATGCCTACATAGAGGAAACTGGGAGAAATTCAGTTTGGCAGTATCCGTTTGGAATTGACATTGACACAGACATTTTTGAAGCGCATATGGCAATTCAATAAAAAGTGAGGGGAAAATGTGAGTTTTGTGACTGAGTGGTTTTTTTCTTGCTTGACTGGGGGAGAATTTTCAGAGCCCTCACTGCTAGCTAGGTCGGATAAAGACCTGGATGGATCTGCCACTTCTACAGACATGCAAGGAAAGTGTAATCCATTCTAATGCAGTGCCAAAGTTCTCTAGGCCTTCTTCGTGGTATCACTATCCTTTTTAGGTTTTGAGTTAATATTTTTGAATTTACTAAGGTAATTCTGTTTCCTGAGAGTTAGAAAGGAGAGTCCCTGAAGACATGGGTAATATTCCCAAGTCTTGGAAGCCAGGGGAGATCTCCCAGATTTCCCAGCATCCGGTGCAGTCTACCCTTGTGCTTGCTGGTCCTACAGAAAGACAGGCTCTGAGCGTACAGAAGCCTGCAACTAACAGCTGTACAGTTCAAACAGCTCTACAGTTCCAACAATAGCAAAAGCTGCTGTACTTAAAGACAATCGTAGCCAAATGGAAAGAAAATTTCTTTCATATTTGTTGCTGACTGCAGAGGACTGTGGGTTTACTTTGTACAGCAGCCAGGCAGATACAGTCACAATGATGCTAGTTTGGTCTCCTCAGAAGACATGAGCATCATTCCATATAGACCAGTGCTATTAGGGGACTACATCTCCATCAGCCCTCTCCTTCAGTGCGTGTCTGCCTTTGAGCATGTGCTCTTGGCTATTTTAACAAAGTGCAGATGAGGTTGGGAGGAGAGACAGGCCAGGGAGGATAGCTTGCATTACCGGTGCATGTTGTGCAGCATTAATAAAGCACTGATCTTCAGAAGTGGCCTAGTTCTAACAAGCTGCCCTGTCTTTGTATGATTGTACATTGTAGTTTATATTTTTGCATCAAGATGCAGCGACTCACAGTGGATCTGGAGAAGAATGCAACTGAGCTGGCCTCGAAAGCGTTCAACCCACCGTTGAACAATGGCTGCCCAGGTAGGAGCGCTAGCAGTTCTTGGCAGACTCAGGAACGGGGATGTAATTAAGGTGTTGGTCGTTGCATCTAGCTGTTGACATGTTTAACACTGACCATTTGCCACTTTGAGGGAAAAAAAACACAATCTTTGTTATTTCACTTTCATGATTGTCAGTCAGTAATGTTTCCACAACAACCGCCAAGGTAGTTATGGAGCAATGGGGAAAGAATGGGGCATATACCAAAGTTTAAATAGAATTGAACTGCCTCTCTTCCTGCTTTAAAATACCTCTGTTCCTGTTTGGAGCCATATCATATCCATCAAAAGGTCTCCACTGCTTCTTCTGCCTGCTCATCACCACCTAAAAGCAGTGTGGTGATCTAAGTGAAATTTGGGAGTTTTAAGAGCTGTACGAGCCCAGTGTTTCCCCTTCTTTCCCTCTGGCTCCTGCTGCTGCCACCAGGGTAGCTGCTCAGGAGGTGAAACCGTAGCTGTTAGCAGCCAGGGGCAAAGGTTATTTCTCAGTTTCTCCGGACTTCTAAACAGATCTCAAGGCAACTGTCCTGCTGAGCTTCTCCTCCCTTAGTGACTCTGATAAAATGTGTCAGTGATCTCAAGTATGAATCTAGAAGTGCTTTCCTGGTCTTAGAATAGTGGTATACTGTTATTTTCATGTGTATTCAGGTAGGCAAGACTTGAAAGAATGGCTGCTTGAAAGAATGCCTCAGTTTTGGTGCTGTAGCCACCTGTACACACCCCAGAATTTTGAAGTCTTCTGTGTAGCTTGGCAGCTTCCAGTCTCTGCCTTATGGCCAGCATCTTGCATGAGCAACAGAGGCATCAAAGCCCAGCTTCCCTGGAGAGAATTCTTCCGCAGGCTGGGACTGAACTGCACAAGAGGAGAGTCCCTTGTCTACAAAGCCTCTATTGGCTATGCAATGACATGATGCTGGAATAATGGGGCAACTGGCAGATTTCTCCTTCTGCAGAGGTGAGAAAAAATAGAAAGTTCTTGAGTGAGGGAGAAAAGAAGCTGCTCTTACCCACTTTTCAGTCTCCAGCTATTTGGTCATCACTCTTTCAGTTCCTGTGAGGCATCTCAGCTATTCAGGCAGAACCCAGCTAGGCAACCTGCAAAGCCCCCCACTGATTTTAATGGACTTTTGAATGACTCTTAAGTTTTGCTAAAGTGTTTCCAAGCACCTTTTGTCTGGAGTCGAGCCCCTCACCTCCCACTGATTTCTGTGGGGATTTGCCACTTCCCAGTTCTGAATTCGTAAAGCCTGGTAGATTGCCTTCCAGAAACTGAGTTCGCTGTTGTCTGTTTGCGTTCCCAGGGAAAGATGTCATTCTTGAAAGCACCCAGCAGTTCCTGATTGATCGTCAGTCAATCTTTGGAAACGACATTATCAGCTTGCCTGAAAGTTCATCGCTTTATGTCCCATCTGAAAATATGGCTTCTTACCTGTCCTCTGCGGCTGTCCAAGGGGATATCCCGTTAAACCTGAGTGCTTCAACTGACAACAACTAGCGATTTAGCTTCCAAGACAAAAACATCTCCCTCCCATCCATCCAAGCATCTCTCTACAGGTTTGAATGTAAAGAAACAAAAGTGACTCAGAAACCCACCACAGAGCTGTGCCCTTTCTTTTTGAATAGATGGAAATGGTCAGTAGCTGTTGCATGACCTTCTCTGCCCCTGAATTTCAGTGTTTGTCTAGAATAATAATTTTAAAACAAAATGTTGCTTTATGATGTGTTTGGGGGGAGGGGAGGGTTCTTTTACGAATTTCAGGCCTACTAAGAAAATCTTCTGAGAATTTGAGTGAAGGGTAGCTTGAAAGTCTATCAGGGACTTCATAAAATAAAGCAATCCTGACTAGTATTTACAAAGGCAAACTGCTGGATTTTGTTGGGGCAGCACAGATCAGCACAGAGATGCAGGGGCATTCTGAGTGCTTTTTTTTAATAGGAAGTTGGTTCTATATGCCAACTCAATGCTCTAAAAATACGCTCTTCTTATCCTTTTTTTTTTTTTCTTTTTATGGGATGTATTTGTGCCTCTCCCTTATCCTCCCAGGCTGAATAGGAAAATGAAGTTCCCTTGGGGTATGCAGAAGTCCTCTTTCCAGGTGGCCGCTCTTAAGAATGTGGCTCTAGCTCCTAGGGGAGCTACAAACCATCGCAGACCCCACAACATCCCATGCCAAACTGAGAGGGTTTTTTTCCCCAATCTATTTTCTCCGATATAAAGGTAAATACTTGAAAAAAAAAATCTTTTGCACACACCGTTTTCCATTTGCGAAGAGGACCGAGAATGCACTCTTGGTTTTGGTGCTGGCTCAGTGTTTCATGTCCAGTCCAATGATATCTTGGCCTTGACCTGTTTTGTTTCCCCTGAAGAAGATGAGCCTGTTGGTTTATTGATATATAAAATCTGATGAACCAGTTTAGTGATTTTTGAGCCCTTTTTTAGAAAGACTTTCAGCCACCGTTACCTGCTCTTTGTAGGCAAGAAGGTAGAAGGGTTAGTCCACAATGTCCCACTAACTTTTCTTCTGTCCCTTGTGCATCTGAGACCAGTCTCCAAAAGTTGAATTAATCTCCCTCTTCCCTGTGGTTTCTGACAAATGAGTTTCTCAACAAAGCAGTGTTTTGTTTTTTATGCTGTAGTTCTAATGAGAACTGTAGATTTTACCCGTATTATTTATCTCAATATTCTCTAATTAAGTTGCGTTTCCTTAAGAAAGCTACTGAGCCAACCACCCCATTGCAGTAAGGCAAACCCAGGAAATTCAGCCCTAACTCAGGCCTTCCAGGGGCCTAGACAGGGAGGTATAAGCCATGCCAATATCGTTTGACTGTACCATGTCATTGCCATGACAATTCATGGTACCAAACCATATTTCTGAGCATTTTGAACGGTCAAGCAGCGTCCACTCCAAAAGGTCATCAGATAAATGCAAACTGAAATTCTCCTTAGTAAGACAAATGTATTTTAAACGGACTTTCCAGCCACAGCCCTTTCCTCCATCCGTTTCTTCAGTATGTGAACAGATGTATTATTTCAGAAGCACTGACCTCTGAGCACATTTTTCCCAGGTAACTACAGCTGTATGCATGCCGGGAGCTCTGTCACCACCTGAGTGGTACAGTCTTTGCAGCAGTGAGGTTGTGCAAACTTCTGAATTAATTCCAGCCACTGTTTTTGTGTTCAGGACTAAGGGAAAATTCTGGCAGCCCCCGCTGGTCTGGTATTTAGATGATGTGCTTGAGTGTATCATGGACAAGGTTTCCTTTTTGGGCAGATTTGTGCTTAGAAAGTTCTTCTGGATCAGCCCATTTGCCACCAGATAATGTCCTTTCCAGCAATGTACAGAGCTAAAATTTGTTGAGTTGTACTCTGTTTCCTTCTTTTCTCATAGGAAATTGAAAATTGTCTGGTGTCTCATATCACCTGACAAGAGAACGTTATCCCTGTTCAGGATTTACCTCCTTCTCTGAATCTTTACATGCTAGATAGCCTTAATGTTAACATTGAATGCATTGATTCAATAAGGTATTTAAGCATATGCATAACTGAGAGCTTCTGAGTAGCTGTCCTTATTTTTATGAAGCCTATCATAAGCTCAAAGTCAGACACCTGCTTCAATTTCTTACTGAATTGCCTAGTTGTGGTTGAAAAATGAACCATCGCAGGATAGCTGCTTGCAAGTAGGCAAAGAGATGCAGCTCAGTCAACAAGGATGTTTGACTTCAACTTAGACTGCATTTTTTTTTATAATGCCAATTATTAGACTGTCAGAAGTCACTCTGGGATGGTTCTTGGTTATTTTTCTTTAGGCTTTTTGCTCTACTATAAACATGAGATTGGATCTTGATGGTAAGAGAAGAAACTCCAGGAACAGTATTCTAGAATCACTCCTGTGAAGAAACAAGCTTGTGTTCCTTGGCTTTTGACATTGTTAACTTGAAGGTGATGTGCTGAGACTGCTTTTTTGCACTCTGCTGTACATTTGTAAAGTTTTACAGAAAACACTAATTAAATATGTTTCCTTTTTCTCACTTAGTCCTGCTTTGGCATTTCTCTCACTCCTTTCCTCCTCCGCAAGTTCTCACCGACAACAGCTTCCAGTTTCAAGAGGTTTACATGTGAGATAATGCAGGGCCCACTGACCCGCTGTTGGATTGTGATCATTTGAGTTAAAAAAAAGGAGCTCTAGAGACCTAGCATGTAAAATGAAGCAACGTTAAACACAACTCGGAAAGCAGCTGAATTTTTCTATCTAAAATGCCAGTCATTCTTGCTTTGTTTGTTAAAATCTGGGTCAGAGTAGAAGAAGCTATAGTTCTTGACGTCTGGCAGGCATCTTGTGTCCTTTTTTTTCTTGGTTTCGGGGTAGTTGAGCTCTTCACTTCACTTTCCAAATTAATTGTGTAAGTCTTTTTTTTATAAAAGATTTCTCTTTTCTGTTTCTTCTTCTAAGCATGATTTGATGTTAAGATCCTGCCTGCTTATTTGTGCTTAATGTAATATGGGGCACCAAGACAGGCAGTAAAAGTTGGAGACTTGATGTGTTTTGTCAGTTGGTTTCCTCATTTTGCTGTGCAGCTACGGTTCATTCTTCTGCTCTCTTGGACTCAGCAGTATGGTATTACAGGACTAAAAGTTAGAAATGGTTCAGCGATCCAAGTCTGTGGGCAATGGTCATGAGTCAGGCAGGGGTCCAGAGCATGTAATGAGTGACATGAACGTCAAGGGCAGGGGAACGGGCTCCTTCCTGGCCAGTCCTGCGGAAGAGAGCAGCTGCAATTCCCTCCCTCCCTTTTGGGTTTGATTTCTGGTACCACAAAGAAGCAGGCCACGAGCACAATTGACATGAAGGCAGCAGAACTAACTCCACTGAATGTGTGGTACAGCACCATGGTAATGCTACACAAAGCGTGAGCAACATGTGCAGCTCCAGTGGATTATGCGCATAGGCAGTGGAAATGTCAGGCCTATTGAACTGGCCTGGCATCGATTTTCACTGGGCCAAAGTAGCTTGGAGACCGATTTTGGGGTTTTTTGTTTGTTTGTTTTAAAGAATGTGGGCACCTAGCTTCATTTCTCTTAGGCTAGTCTCTGTTTCCACTCTACATTGTTGGACAGGCTCATGCCAAACACTTAGTCTTAGAAAATGTTCAGTATGAGTCAGTTCTACAACTGCAGCTTTCCTGCTCCATCATAGCCACCTTCCTGTTCTTCCCCCGTGCTGACCTGGCAGTGAGTGTGGTTAGCACTGGCTGCAAGAAGCTCCACGTCCTCTGGGTGAGGCCAAGCACAATTTCAGTCTGTGCTGACAGAGGTGTCCTAAGGCAAAAGCCCTAGAACTGAGGCCCCGTGTTTGAGAGGGCCTTACTACTAGCTTAAGGAGGTCAGACACCCAACACGCTGGACCTGCTGCCCATGAAGTCAATGCAAAGGACAACCACCCTTAGTGCAACTGCACCTCACACAGGGTGACTTGATCATGGGGTTCAAGGTTTGATGTAAAACCCTCTGCGCATGCACAGTATACAAATACACCTTGAAAGTGATATAGAAGTAGCACAAAAAATATACAAGGCAAAGCCATTGAAGTATGCCCTGACTACCTTTTTTGTCAGAAAAAAGAAGCGGAAAATTTTTAGGGCAGAGCTCACCAATTTTGTTGTAACCACTTGCAGCTCTGTAAAGAGAAGATTCTGGTAAAGATGCTTTAAGAAAAGCCCGTTCTCCCCAGGCACTCACTTATCCTCCTGCCCTTTCCTGGAGGCCAAAGATGTTACCAGCATGTTTCTACTGACAGAAGGCAGAAGAAGGCTGGGGTTTAAAATAATTGTGTTGTGTTCCCTGAGGTCTTTTACAATTAGCTTGGTTTATGCTTAAGACCACTTCTCTTACCGCTAGATGGCACCTACACCCAGCTGAGTGGAGTAAATCTTTTCAACATTACACAATAATTTTTTTTAAATGTACACCCCTACAAGGCCTGTTTCATCCAATTTATTACAAATGATTAGAGATTTACAGAAATATGAAAAAGGGATCCACCTAAACTTGGTTAGGGCTTAATGAAGTAACCTAACATGTAGCCTCTACTCTTGATGTTGCCAGCTGTTGGTTATGACAGAAAAACAATGACAGCCCTGAATGAGGCCACCTCTTTTATGTTGCAGTTAAGCAGTATACAATTATTTTCTCTCCTATTACCATAGCCACTTCTGTGTTGGGAAAATAAGAGCCATTAGTGAACTCAGTGTTCATTGGTATGCCCAAGAGTTAGCCATATCCTCAAACTCCTTCTTTTGTGGTGTCACAAAAGGAAGCCCAGCTCTCCAGTGATCTCCGCTTCCTAGTTTCGGGCAGGGGCAAAAGGAAGGGGGTGGAGGGAGGAAGAAAGGGAAGAGGAGACAACACAGCTCTGGAGTCACTCCTGCTGATCTCACATTGGACTTAGGCACAAGGCTACCACTGTCCAGTAAAAGAGGAGCTAATGAAAGATGATTTCCTCTGGTCTGTTTTTTAATAGCAAAAGTGTCTTTCCATTGCTACTGACTGTCTGGTTATTTTCCCGTTATACTTGAAATCTGGATCCTGAGACATATGTATTACAAGAAAAGACTACAAAAATGGCAGATGTAAGTATATGCTTCATCACAGATCTCCCTAAAACGTAAGCCCCTGTTTTGCATGCATGGATGCTATTTCTGCACCATTTTTGCATAAACAATTGTTTATGAATATTAGATCCTTAAAACTTTGTATTAAGAAGAAGCATTGTCACTGAACACTATCTTGTCTGACATATGTTTGTGAGGAGCGGACAGAAGTTAAAAAATGTGTCAGTTTCCAAACAGAATCTTTATTTAGTTCAGATGACAGAAACGAATACGTAACACTATAGACTGAAACCATGTAAGTAGTGAAATGAGAAGGTATAAACATTTAAGTAATTTCTGTAAGGATGCAAGGAAAAACAAATAACATAACAGAGAGTGGAATTTAATCTTCAAACAGTAATACCCCACTCTTCAAAAGAAGTGAACATTCCCCGCTGCCTTAAAGACTTGGAAACTAGGGCTTTTTAGCACCTTTGAAAGTAAGAGTGCAAGGCACTTGTTACCTGTAGGCTATGTAGGATTATGAACTTTCATGCTGACAAGACCAGAAGTTCTGCCTTGAGGGTCATATGCTGGAGGCTGCATCAGCCTATGACTGACTGAACTCTTAACAGTCCTCATGTTAAAGGCAGTCTTGTTTTAGATCATACAAAGTGTTATGTCAGTTTTAACTAATGGAACCCTTGCTAAACTTTGCATTTTGAGAATAACTGTATGCAGTCAGCCAGGCACTGTATTCCAGTTGCGTTCTGGGTTTTTTTTCAAAATGATTAATCAAATCCACACTCACTGTCCTTGCCACCTTGTGGTTCAGGATGGCATCCTCCACTCTCAGCCAGGCACTGTACTTCTCCATCACTGCTATTCCCTGTTAAAGCACGAAGGCAAAAGGTAAATGAAACTGAGTGGAGGTCTTTAACGTTGGAAAAAGAAATGTAGCGTCCATTTTTGTAAAAACCATTTAAATGAAACTGAGCAAGAACTTTGGCATACTGAACCATAATATTTTAATTCTTAGTCTATTAGGATTCCCCCAAAAATAAATGGAAGAGGTGACTGTTAATATGAGACTGGATTGAGAGTTCTGTTGACAAGGGCTGAACAATCCTTACTTTTAGAGTGTATGTGCTACCCCCCCCCCTTTGTGATTATATCACTGTGATCTTACCAGGGCAAGAAACTGTAATGTTACTGTCCCCTTCCCATGGGCTTATATCATCTGGTTGATCACAGACTGATGACAATAATGGGCTATCCTTAGGTTCAGTAATAATCTCTTGTATCAAAGGTTTCAACAGGTTTTCTTGTTTATCTTTGCTCTCCAAGTCCCTTTCTGAATTAGAAGGCTCTGTAAACAAGCCCTCAACAATGGGTCTTAAGAGTTCCTTTTCACGGTCTTCATGTATCTTATGCATGTGTGAAAAAATTGCTGTTGGAACCTCTTCTCTTACTGAATTCCCAAATGTGCTTTTACTCTTTTCCTCTACTGCAGAATCACTCTCATTTGTGGTTTCAGAAATTACTTCAATCTTTGGTTGATATTCTTGCTGTAAAGATATAAAATGCAATTGAAAATATAGTCTTCTAGATGCAAATATTAAAAGATGGGTAAGGATCTCTTGGATTCATGCAACAATTGTCAGCTTTGACGTGCTGCTCTCCCAAAATGTACAGATGTGCTTCACACCTATGGTTCTATTTCTTTTGTTGATGAATCTTGGGTTAACTATTTGTCAGGTAGTAGCTGTGAACTGACCATAAACTAATAATCATAAACAAGAAGACACAGTTCAGCAATTCATGCCAAAGAGCAATGTACCAAAATGAATACAACCATTATGAAAAAGACAAAGCCACTCTAATTGTGAAGACTAGGTCAGAACCATTCCCATTCCCTTTGATTTACACCATGCTGTGTTGTCTTTGGTTCAACTTGAAAACAATTTGCTTTTTTATATCAGATGGCATAAAAGCAGAAGCCCAGGATCCCCAAAGCACATACTCAAAAGCAAGTCACTGACAATGGGAAGAAGTTTCACGGGCGCTTCTCTATTCTTTTACCTTCTTCAGAACAGGAATTTAATCTTGACTCTTCCGCTGTTCAGGAGAGGACCTTAACTAAAAGGCCACATGAATTCTGAGCTGGATTTCTGCTAATGAGCCAATTGCATTTCATAGAAAGGAGGTGCTTTTTGGTAGTAATGCTACAGGAACAGGCCCAGGAGGTCTACATTTCACCACTGTGACTGCTGCTCCCAGGGTTTTCTAGTGTTGCAGGATGGATCTATCATGATGGATATCAGGGCCTGGTCATGTTCTTGGGCAACCTGCTCTAGCTGACCTCACTTGAGCAGGAGGCTGGACCAGATCATCTCCAGAAGTCCCTTCTGATCCCAACTATTCTATGATTCTATGATATCCTGAACCTTGTTAGTGCTGTTTTTAAGATGTGACTTACCGGATCCTATCCAAATAGAGGGACCTAACTAACATCTCATCTGACTTCAATTAAGAACTGAACACCATTCAGCATAAGAGAGAGGGCAACACCTACTCCCTTATTAATCCTCTTTGTTCCTTGCCCTTTTTCTTTTCTTATTTCTCTCTCAGCTTCTGTGTAATTGGAGGCTTTGTTAGCCAATATTTCTTATTTTGCAACCCTGTTGTGAGTCTGTGACCAAAAGAGCAAGTAAAATCTATGCTTTACGCATACTGAGCGTAGTAAACGTTTACAGTATCTTGGAACAACTTGTAAAAACATGTACTGTATTAGCCTCCAGCAAGGTAAGTAGGAGTAAATGACAGCACTGGAATCACAGCAGTGCTTTTCATCTTTGTTGTTTTCTTCTCTCTCTTCTCTTCTGTGTTTGTTCATCCTCTTTTATCTAGCAAATTAGATTGAGCAGAGCACAAGGCTAATGTCGGTATGAATCAATGGGGTTGGAACTGCCCTGTGCCTGACTAGCCCAAAGTGGAGCCGAGAAGTTTGGGTCTAGCTATGCTTTCAGTTGAAAAGGCTGATTTTCTTCAGTAATAGGCAGTCTGTACAATCTATTCAGTTCATTACACCATACTAGTACTAGTACAGAATATGTAATTAGTAATCTTCATTAAAACACTGTATGCTACTAGGAAATTAATCTTATTTGATCGTTGCATTTCTTTGTTTTAGTTTTTCATTCTCCTCTTTTTAACAATGCAAAAATATAAACAAACAGATTAAAAGATCAAGGGGATAGAGAAGAGCTGCTGAAACATCTATTGTGGCTTGTAAAGGCCTTAACTGATCACATCTCTCAAAACAGCATTAGGCAACTTAGATTACCCTTACTTTGCAAGATATAACTAAATGTCTTTGAAGAAGCATCATCACTGGCATTAATAAGACTCTTACCTTTTGAACAAAGATTTCCTCTTCTGGAGCAAATTCATTTACATCTATATCTTCTAAATCAGGCAATTCCTGAAGACAATCACAAGATCATTTATCAGTGGAAAAGGCTAGCTCTAACCAGTAAAATACAACATCTCTATCTCATTGGGACTCCTTTTCGGGGTAAGAGGCCAAATATTTAGGAATCTATCAGTGCCACTCTCTCTAAGATGACAGTTTTCTCTAAGTGCATGTGGGAAAAGGAAAGTCTGTCCGTCTCCAGAAATGGAGGAAGGCAATAACCTTTATCTCAGGCTGTACGCTCTTTTCTACTATGCTGTGCAATTATGAACAAAAGGAAGAAAAAAGGATAAAGAGTAAGGCACTGAAAAGATTTTAAAAGGAAACACAGTTTATGTCTATTCGCTCTCTTTTACCTATTCAACAGATTTAATATCAACTACAGCCCATCTTATGGGTAAGAGCCAAAACATGATCTCCAGTCTACTTGAAATAGTTCATCAGTAAATACCATTAATACAATTAATAAACCAGTGCTTTACTGTGCAGGTCTTGTAACTAAGACATGAAAATTGAAACTTGCTGAAAATTGTTTTTCCTCTGACAGGTCCAGTCATTTCAGCTTTCTATTAGATATCATTATCCAAGATAACTATATGTTGCTGACACAAAGCAAAAACAGAGGGTGTGAATACAAAATCACAAGTAGAATGTCATACTTTTTTGCCATACTTTAATGTAGGACAATGCTGGCAAAAGCATTTCCTTTAATAAGATATTTTGAGGGGTTACTAATTTTGTAGCAAGCTGGGTGGCTTAGCAGCCGCAGGAAGAACGAATCAGTTGTGTATACTCTCTACTGCTTTGCTTGGTGAAGATTGTTACAGAGTCAAAATCAACAAATGAAATGTCTGTTTCTTTATACTGTTGTGGCTAATGCAGCGTGTTCTGAATTCATGTAAAGCTATGTAAAATATGAAGAATGTAAGATCTGGAGGCTAATGTTAATGGGTGAATTTGAGGTCAAAAGAGAAGTGAAATAGCTGTTAGTCTTGTTCCAATCAACAGGGTGTGCTTGCAGATGAAACTGTACTTCTTACTAAGAGTTAGTAAGTTTACTACTTACTAGTAAAGTTTACCACTTACTACTTACTACTGTCCTGGTTTAGACACGTCCAGTGTAATCCATACATTACCAGGGAATATGCATAAATACTAGTTCTTGATGAGCAACCTCCGATTAATCCACAGATGATGCACCTGTGGCTTGTTTCTGCTTGACTGAGGAATGTCGTAACAACTGCATGACAAATCCTCCTCCACTCTTCTCCCTTATATTACTACCGAGACAAGCTACAGAGTCCAGGATATGAATAAAGACCACAGTGCTGTTCCAGAGCATCTTGCCATTGGCATCTTCACACTCATTCCCCCGCTATGTCAACGCTAAGTATCTCCGGAAAAACTGTACTAGCGTAAGTATTGGAAGTTGTCGCCAGAACCTCATTCCGTTACTAAACAGCAATTGCAGAACAGAGTAGCACAGAACACTGAAATGTGTATTAGTATGTGATTTGGGGTTTTTTTTTTTCCTGTGGAACTAGGATATTCATACTCCTTAGGCATAAAAAGGAGCCTTATGGGCATATGCTGAAGAGTTCCTTTTTATACTATGCTAAAGTTTCTGCAAAGGAGCTTGCTATGGTACCATAGAGCACCAAGACAAAAATTGCACACATTGTGGGTCCCTACAGTACTGCTATTTATTTAATGCTTTTATTTCAGACATTGAAAGATCTGCCTATAAACACAGTACTATATACACTCGTAATTGCTGTGAGATCCCACAAATTTTCTTGTTAATCCTGTCATTAAAAATAGCCAAACAGGTGGATGCAGTAATGAGCACTCTATCAAGCAGTGAGTTGAGCCCTTAGGTAACGGGATGGAAATTCTTCCTGAGAAGAACACAGAAAAGATAGAACAGACCTTTCTAGGACATTTACAGTAAGGATTTGGCAAACAGTGGCTATATAAGGGATCAAAGAATACCATTAAGTGCTCTGGGAAATCGTAAGCTCAGAAGTTTGCTGTTGCTAGAATATGTTGAATAGGTCTCCTTTGCAGTTAGACTGTATTTTTCAGTGATATTATCCATGTCTTTATAGTGAAATGTGTTTACATGTTTGCGCTAGCAGACAGAAACATTGGGTAATAGAAGAACATTTTAGAAATGTTAATCATTTATGATACACATGAATAATGCATATTCTGCTTCTTTTAGAAACATACCTAAAAGTTATATTTTGAAATTTAATTGTAATATATGATATCACTAACCAACATTTGCAATGGTAGGCAGCTATTTCTTCTTTATATTTTTTGTGCAGTAGTTGACATTCTTAATTGCGTATTTGATTGGGTTTTGCCTAATAGGACAGTTATCCGCTAAATTCTTTTTATTATTGTGATTTATGTTCTTTAAATGAAAGCTCTTATTAACTTTTCCACAAAGAAATCACAAAGCTAAAAGGTCAACCTCAGGTGATCTAAGGATAAAATAAACTTTGGAAGCAGTGGTAATTTCTTCTGGCATGCTATGCTGGAGAGAACGAATAACACTACAACGTCCTTTTTTTTTTTTTTCCCCCCTCCCCCTTTCTTTTCTTTCCTTCCACTTTTGCTGGTAGAGCACTTTCTTAGAAACCTGATCATACACTTTACTTAGCCAGAATGTTAGAGGAATGTATTTGGGAGCTGACAATATCCAAATCGGAACTTCTCAAAATCTGAATCTAATACATACGTCAAGATAAAGTTTCTCTGGAGGCTCCAGTTTGATTTGTTCCATTTTAGCATATTCATCCATTTCGGGAACCACGGTGCTTTCAGGACCCAACTTTTCTCCTGGTAGAGCTAAAGAATAAGAAATACCTAGTCACAGAGAGCTAACTGAATAAAAGGCTTTGTATGTTGCAATGTGAGCACTGCAGAACCTAACTGCTGTGGACCGGACTAGTGTCACAGAATTCACAGCTGAATCTAGAACTTTGTCTTTCCATCATATTCTTGGTCTAGCTTACATTGTGTAAATTTTTTCATTTTTTTAAAATAATTATTCCATACATCAACAACAAAAAGCATTCTTCTACATGTAAAGACACAAAAGCACCTCTTGACTGATGGGCAGCTTCTGCTGGTGTAGACAAATCACACAGTTTCTGTGGAACCAAGGGAAGCCTCTGAGCTATGATCCCTCTCCTGTCCTTTCACTGAAACTAGCACACAGGAGAAACAGCTCCACCCTTATAAAGCTGCAGGTTGGGCACTCAGAGCTGTTTTCCTCATTGTATTTAAAGAATATTTTATCCAGAATTACTTTTATTTTCAACTAGTCACAACAGAACTCTAATAGGATGTTCTTAGCTACCAATCAGCTTTTTTGAATCACAGCACAGGGGAGCTATGCTAAGATAAGAGTTTGGCTCATCATCTCCATTTCCTCAGTTTGGTGTGATTCTTCACTGTGTACATTACCGTCTGTCTTCCTGTTGAAGTTTGAGCATTTGTATGAATTTGATTCTTGTGCATTC